AGTTATGGACAAAGTTAAAGTTTTTTGCGGATAAACAGACAGCTTTATAAACCGCGAAGCGGACATTACAAAACTACAGCGTAATCTTCATTAAAATGGTACAGAGAAAAACTTAAGTTTTTTTACATAAAAAATTGCATGTGTAATATAATAGTTCTATCTCTAAGTATTCAAAATATACAGCCAATGTTCAAGTTTCTTCAAAGGTAGGTCAATATCCAGTAATACAGCTGTGAAATATGCAAGTCCTAGTACTAACTGTTCAAAAATTATGCCAAGGTTAAGATCAAGAGGTCAAATATGTTGGTAACCAAAGTCATGATCACACGTGTGAAATATGTCAAAGTCATAGCTGCAATGGCCAGTAAAAAATTGTAAAATTTTGCAAAACTGTGTCGAATCCATTCAGGGTGAATTAAATTCAAATTTTTGGTTGTAAAGGTCTTGTTATTGGATAAAAAATTGACAAGTGAAATATCCAACCAAAAGTTAAAAGCAAAGTTAGTTTTTATGAAAAAGCTTGACAGACGAACAGACAGGACAAAAGCTATACATATATATACTAATACTCTTAACTCTTAAAGCTTCATAGAAATGAGATAAAATCACCTTAACTTTGAAATACGTATTTTTATGCATCCGTAAAAATTAAATTATATAGTTTTTGAATCCGTACACTGTCTGCAAACAAAATGTTAACCTTGCCAATAAATTTTGACTAGGTGGGACTATGGCTTTCATATTTCACATGTATATATTTCTTGTGATAAGACCTTTCTTTGGGTACCACCAAATTTGCTCTTTTTGACCTTTGATTTTGACAAACTTTAACATAAATATTCCAAACTTTTACTTTGGTCATAACTTATGAACGTTGGATCCTGGACTTTCAAACTTCATATATGCATTTTTTGTGACAAGACCTTCCATAGGATACCAACAACTTTGACTTTTGGACTTTGATCTTGGATATTGACATACTTTAAAAAAAACTTACGCCTTGGCCATAACTTTTGAATGGTAAGGGCTAGGGATTTCATACTTCACATATGTAATCCATGTGACAAGACCTTTCATTGAATACTAACATTTTTGACCGTTGAATTTGATCTACGTTTTAAAATACTTTGATATTGGCAATAACTTTTGAACGTTAGGGCTAAGGTTTTGATACTTCCCATATGTAATCTTTGTGACAAGGCGTCGTTTTAGAAACCAACAACCTTGACCCTTTGACCTTGACTCCAGAGTTTGACCTACCTTTAATAACTAATAAGCGTTAACCTTAGTCATAACTTCTGAACAGGTGTTGTTAGGATTTTATATTATTTTCACATTTGTATTTCTTGTGAGAAGGCTTTACATCTTGGGTATCAATATATCTGATTGCCTTTGTGGAAATTTAACTTTCGTTATGTTACTGTACATGTTACCATCGGTGTTTCACGGACAAATCTTGTTTGTTCCGTTTTGTTTTATACTTCTGTAGACTCTTTACAGAGTTGTACAACAGTCGTCTGACGGGCAAGCACTTGGGCCTCTCAAATTTTATCTTTAAATATATTCACATTGTTAATGCTATGCTATTTTATTCTAGTTTTTGAACATTAATAGAATTGTTGTTTCAATTAATACAAATTAAAACAACAATTCTATATATTTAACACGAAAGTAAAAATATATTCTAGTACATTCAAAATATTAATCTTTTCTATGTTAAATCAGTATCAGTTTTTCTGATATCAGAATATAAATTATACTTACGTAATTCCGGCCATGTCGAACTTGTTCACGAATGTCACCTTTCCATCTTTGAGTATTTTTACGGGCATGATGATGGTAGCACTATCTGCTGTCGCCTTCAATATACGTTATGAATTTTCTTTAATATTGATTACCAGAATTGGAAGAAATTGATTACATAATCAAGCTATTAAAGTTGTATGCCGTCATTTTATACAAAACGCATGTATGAATGCTTACTTCTAATTTATGTTTTTTTTTCAACACAATTAATATGTATTATAGATGCGTCTCCTAAATTTAGATTGCAATGAAAAGGAAAAATCAATCACCCGTTATAATGAGTGAAGAACCAGAAACGCTGTCTTTAATGCAAGTTGCAAGTCATTATTTTTTCCTTTGAACTAAAAAGTAAATATACATTATCGATTTTTTAAAAACTTATTATACAAAACGCCAGATGATTCTTGTGAAAGTATTGAGGCTTTTGAATTAAAAAAAAATTCATTTAAAAGTCGAAGCTAAGCGACGGGGAACTAGAAATTACCGAATAACGAAATAGGTTATTTAAAAAAAATCATGGCTTTTTAGGTCGTTTGAGCAACAAGTAAATTCAGAGAATCTGTGTCCATACCATAAAGAAAAAGGAAGAGCATGCGCGAATCTAGATTGGAGTTGGAAGGTTAGGGGTACTTTAAAGGGGATGGGCGGGGGCATAGGGAGTTACGGTTCAAAATTTCATTGCAAAATCTCCTCGGAAATGAAAGTTTTACACTCAGCCAAAAATATGAATTGACGACCTTGACCTATGACCTCTTGGACTCAACTATAAGGACTAACTTTCATTACAAAAGCTCAAAGGACAGACAGGAGTACAGACCGAAAAGCAGCTATAGATGGACAGACAGGCCGAAATTAAAATCCCCTACTTTCAGTAAAACAGGGGGACAATAAAATGTTTAGATTACCTGAGCCGAATGCTCAAGTGAGTATTCCTGATCAAAATTTGTCTGTTGTCTGTCGTCGTTGTAGTTGTAAACTTTTCAAATTTTCATCTTCTTCTCAAGTTCTCAAAACTTCTCAAAACTTGCCGCAAAGTATCCTTGGGTAAAGGTGATTCATATTTGTTCAAATAAAGGGTCACGTTCTCTTCCAAGGGGAGATAATTATGAATTAGCGAAAAATAAATGGCATCTCTTTTAAAAATCTTCTTCTCCAGAACCACTCAGCCAGGAAAGATGAAACTCATGTGGAATCATCTTCAGGTAGTGTAGATTCAAGTTTGTTCAAATCATGACCCCGGGTATAGGGCGGGGTCAATGGCTGGTCAAAGGTAAACATAGGAATATATATGGAAAACTTTTAAAAATCTTTTTTTCAAGAACTTCTTTTTTTTCAAGAACAGCGAAACTATGATTGGTGATATTTATATGGAACCATCCCCAGGTGGTGTAGATTCAAGTTTGTACAAATCATGACCCACGGTGATAGGGTGGGGTCACAATGGACGATCAAAGTTTAACATAAAAAAAATAGGGAAAATCTTAAAAATCTTCTTCTCAAGAACAACACTGAAGCCATTATTGGTCATAATTATATGGAAGTATCTGCAGGTAGTGTAGATTCTAATTTGTTCATTTCATGACCCTCCGGGTTAGAAAGAGCCAGAATGAGCAATGAAAGTTTAACATACAGTGTTTTAAAGGAAAAATCAACAGAAATCTTCTCGAGAACACCAAAGCAATGGTTGTTTATATTTAGGTGAAAGCATTTACAAGTAGTGTTGATTCAAGTTCAAATCATGACCGTTTGGGGTAGGGTTGAGCCCGAACGGACGATGTTTAGCATAGGTGTATATAGGGACAATCTTCAAAAATCTTCTCAAGAACACCAAAGCCATGATTGTTCATATTTATTTGGAAGCATCCACAGGTAGTGTAGATTCGAGTTTCTCCAAAATTATGACCCCCTAGATACGACAGAGCCACAATGGACGACCAAAGTTTGACATAGGAGTATATAGGAAAAATCTTCTTCTCTAGAACAGCACAGTTAGAATAATCTAACTGTGTCTCGGTACAAGCCCTCACCACAATCGTTAAACCAGGTATATATATAGGACAATATCATTTTAAAAGAACGTTCTATCTAGAACAGCAAAGCAATGGTTTGTCATATTTATCTGGAGGCATCCTCAGTTAGTGTAGATTCAATTTTGTACAAATCGTACCCTCTCCTCCCTTACCCCCTCTGTTTTTCAGGGGTAAGTCGGGACTACTCATGCATTAAAGCTTTTTAATACTAAACTTATTTTTGCTTTTTCCCCTGGTGTCCTCTACAAAAATTTGAATTTTTCAATAATTGTCATATATAAATTTTAATTGAAAAATTCAAATTTTTGTAGAGGACACTGGCCACAGCACTCATGTGAGCGATGTGGCCTCTGGGCCTCTTGTTTGGTTGTTAGTACGGGAATTATGTTGCAGAAAAAATGCACAACCTGCGTTAGCGGGTTAAACAGGTGATATACTTTTTTCTGCAATAGCTGCCTGAAACGTAACTTTCCACACTGACAAATAAAAAGACATTTGTTTTTATTTATAACTGTACAATTAATCAATTAAAGTGGGATTTAGAAAATGAAATATTGTATTGTTACAGAGGCACCTGGCGTTACTTATTTTTCTTTTAATTGAAAAATATACCCCCTACTTAATAGTACACTATTAGATAACAGGCATATTTTTAAAAAGAAAAATGAGTAACGTCAGGTGCTTGTGATCTGCACATACATGTACTAGTGTATGATATGCTTAAGCTGTGTTTACTAACTGATAAAAGGTCGGCAAATGTCTTCTCAAGAAATAAAGGAAGTAATACTGTAGATCACTATATATTTTAAACACCTTAATTTCTCGCGAGAGAGTCAGGTCATTGCCTTAAACAAGTTAATGGAAATTATAAGGATATTAAAATTCGCGAGCATTTCATAATTGCGCGAAAATTGTTCATGTTATGATTTACGTATTCACTATGTAAATATTGGTCCTTTAATTTGAAAACAGCATCTGTGCTCTATGTCGACAAGAATATGTTCAGCTCATGGTTTTAGCTATTTATTTAAAAAAACAACATAGGATTGAAGACAAATTAATTCAAATACGGTTCAGGCTAAAAAATTCAAAGGCAACGTATTAAGCCTGCATTTTGCTTTCACTTTGTGTAAGAAGCACTGATAGAAACGAACAAGCACACAGTTAATATATCAATCACATATTTAATCAACAATAACAATAACTGAACAATGGTGACATACAAAGCAACTTCTGGCGTTGTAGGGATCTACGAACGAACTGTCCAGCTGACTGTGTGTCTAACCTAAAGGAATAGAAATACTTAGACTTGTACTAGTGGCAATTCAAAATATCTTGCGAGATCTATACTAAAATTATAAAATCTTTGAAGTTATATTTAATTAAGCCATTAGAAATTTCTCAAGTATACACATCATAAAATAAATTTAAAGATTCATTTGAAAAAAAGGAAGCGTATTTTGATAATGTTCTTACTTCCTGGACAGTTCGCTCGTGTACACATTTAACCACATGGACAGGGCTTGTGATCTGTGTCTTGTTTCTGTCAGGGCTCTCTCTGTAAGGAAATAAACACAGTTAGTTACATATTTTATTTTCAAAATTATTTTGATTTTCATTTTTCTTCAAAAAATAATTTGATTAGTTACTAGTACACAAAATTTACCATTCTCTTTCTGCCTTTCTTCTAAGGTGTTGAACTCGGCATTCAATTTAATCCTCAAGTGTCTGTTTTCTGCAAAAGTGAGTGAAAATATATATTAGACCGTATATCAGACATCGTAATATATAAAGAAAGAAAAAAATAATTAGAAATTGAAGCTGCAAGGTTATAATAATAACCTTCTGCCAGACTGGCCACTGCCCTGTGCATCCGCCCTAGATGCTCCCTCATCTCAAGCCCCATCCAAATAACTGATACACACAAAGCCACGAAGATGAAACCAGCACCCAAACGTACACAGTCTTTTGTAGAAAAGGAAGAAAGAAAATCCATGACGAGAGAGAGTTTATGAACCGAAAGAACTTGTTCCATGAATCCCAAACATTGTCCAAAGAGTGATGAAATGTTGTCCAAAATGTTGCCACAGCACCCAAAAACACAAACTGTCACACTGACGGCGTGATCCCCAAACTGAATAAAGCATAACTCAACATTGCCCAGCATGTAAATCAACAATGAATAAGTGTCTGAGATAATGGTGATAGCAAAAGTGGACAGAGAGTCCAAAGCACAAATGCTGCTGGTGGCGAGAGACGCCGACAGATGGAAGACATTCTCGTCCACACTGGAGAGCATTTGCTGAGAAAGAGAAGAGACAGAAATAAGAGAATAGAAGACAGTTGATCAGATACCACAGTTCAAATAGAGATAAAGATGGCCGAGGCCTAATCTTACCGAAATGCGCCAAGTTGCTTCTGTCCACATGCCCTGTACAACACTGAAATAAATAGAAAATATATTGTAGTTTTAAATTTTTAATACATAAATACATGTACATGTACATATCATGTACCAGTTTACACTTACCGATACACATATTTACATAACATGCTGTAATGAATTTTTGTTTTTGAAATGAATTCAAAGGGAAAAAATTACTGACGTCCGCAACGGTTACGACCATATCTAAGGAGAATTTCTAAGGGCGCCAGCCTATTATCCGCTGGAAAAAATTATTCTTCAAATTTGAATTCAATATGCCTATATTCTCTCTTTTTAATTAATTCCCTTTCAGGACTGCACTTACTCATACATGTCTGGCCATTCCGGGATGGTGACCGGGCCAGCAGGAATCAAAAAGAGAAGGAATACTAAGGAGGCGATGTTCATCGTGACACTGTTGTTTTGCGACTGATGCTGGGTTACGGGAGGGCTTGTATATATACCCTCCTGTATTTTTGCGCCCTTTCTGATTGGTTCAATTTTGAGCGCGCTGATTGGCGTATAACGGCCAACTTGAAAAGAGCGCGAAAATGTTACGGACAGCTGTTGGCCATCTTGAACAACGATTTTGTGCTACTGGTATCAAATAAATTAAGCGTCATGTCAAAATATTCAGGTTAAATTGAAAGATTATATTGAATCTGAAGTCAAATTAAGGTCAGCTTTCATAACGTGTTAAAATTATGCACAAACTATGCTTATTTTTTGAAAATTATTCAAATTCGTGATATTTTTGTAGTGTTTTTTAGTATCAGGGAAATGAAATTAATTTTTTACTACACCCTATCAACTGATTTTCTTCTGAAAATCAATGAGATTAAAGAAATCACGTAGAGAGGATTTATTTGGTACGGAAGATTGCAGCCTACAATGAATTTATGCATCATAATATCGCCTTGAAATTAAAAAACAAAACACAGGCAGCAAAAGTAGCCAAAAATGAAAACCTAAGTTACCCTTTTTTGCACTTATTGCATTTTTTTCCAAATATTTTGGAGAAGAAAATAAAAAAACTGCTTTAGAAAGTTGAAAAAACTTTGAATTCCACTTAAATAAGCTTTTATTACAAAGTTTTGGATTCCTTACTAAACTTTCTTTTATGCGCCATATTGTTTACATTAGTTACGACGCGTCATGGTAACGGTATGCATTCGGAGTACACTACGTATCGATAACGTAATGTTCCGAGTATTTTTCAAGGGGAATCCGGGAATACAGATTATCATATTTTCAAATTATATATTTCGGGTGCTTTAAAATACAAAATTCCATGTAAAAACAGGTTATAATATTAGAACAGAACCTCAGATATGCCTATTTAAAAATCAAAGTCCCTTGCTTGGCTGTTTGGCTTTTTGGAAAACCCCAAAGCAAAGAATCCTCACACTCGCAGCAGCCTTTATAAATTTCAATTTCTGGTATTGTAACTTTGTCATTTGACTGAATAAAAAAAATTATGCATCTTGTAGGGTTTTTGATGGATGTTAAATAAGTGCCCTACGGGTCTCATTCAGATTAGATTTTTTTAGACCCAGCAAAGGGACACAACTTTTGCAAATAGTGGACAGTTGCAAAAGCTGCTTCTTTCCCCGATTGAAATTCAACCTTCAAAGTTTATACCTTCCTCTGACATCTATAAGCAATAAAATTTCATGAATTCCAAATATATCCGTGTTCTGGAAAGACTAATCCAAACGGTTAGGCCTAACAGTGAGGGTGAAAATCAAAAAGGTCAAAATACAAGAAAAATAACTCAACTTGAACTTACCTCCAAAACGAATGCAAAAAGTCCCTTCAATGCATATCGGAATTCCAGTTAACGAAATCCTTTTAATATCAAATGAATTATGTATTAGAGTGATTGTTGGTAACTGGTTTGGTCATGGTGTAGCACTGCGAGAATGACTTTGAAGTGACGTCATATTTGACATCAAGGGAGGCGATTTTGGTATTTTTGGAGTTATCTCTCTTTCACTGGACTGTTTGCTGGTTGTCCCATCCCCTAGCACACAAGTATACACCCAGACACACACCCTCATACTCACTATTTGTTGCTAAACGTTCAAGCATTAACAATTTCCAGATTGAAACGAAATGTACCAAAATGAAAGAATAAGATTCACCCGTAGACTCCCATGATTTTTTTTTTTTGTGATTTTTTTTTTCCTTTTTAGATTTTTTATAGGTTTCCCAATCCCTTTTAAAACCGTTACTAAGTGCCTAGCGCGGCATTAATGATGGATTTTATAAAAGTAGTAAAGAAACTTGAAAAAAAGACTAGATTTTCATTTTCAACTTAGTTTAAAAAATTTTCCTAGAGTTGTTTTTACTTTAGGATAGTCAATTCACCATGCATTGGACATAAATTAATCATGCATTGGCCTTTAACAAAAAATGGACATTGTCCAATGCATAGATATTTTACTTCCTTGTTTGCCTTTATGTAGAAATAAAAAAATATATATATAGCCTCCAATGGTTTGCAATAAGTTGTTTTGTACTCAATGCAAATTTTGCTTTATGAATACTTTTATATCAAAAGTATTTTATGAAGGAATTCGGAATATTTTGTAACAAATCTATCTTTTATGAATTAGTTGAATTTCTGGAGTCCAAAGTTCAATCAGCTTACAATCATCATAAATTTACATTGTCAAGTCAAAGGGAAAGCAAAATTAAGGAGGCAGTGAATTAAAGCCAAATAATATTATGATTATGTTCTTAAGTTCATCGTCTCAAGCACAGGCACTCGTTTTGGTAATAATTTTTTTAACCATAGTTTAATAATACTGGGGTGTACTCCATGTTATTTGGAATTAATAGATACATTGTGTTATTATTATACTATTGTCTATAAGTTAAAAATTTGTATTAGAAGCAAGTGCCTGTGTCTCAAGTCATGGTCCGCATAAAGCTCTCGCCTATCTGTGGCTACTTGATTACTAAGTGTTGTAATCTTAAATAATTACGCTTCTTTGTTGTGGCATCATGTCCAGCCAATGAAAATAATTGACAACTTTCTGTTCAACCAAGGACAGAATGGGATAGAATTGTACACATTTTGATGCGGTTTGCGATGATGTCTAATTCAAATATTACAGGAAAAAAGTTCTGTAGGCAAACAGATTCAAGTACAGTCAAAATACAGTAACTCAATCATTAAAAATAATTATAAGTAATTAACACGTCACAATAATTAAAACAAAATATGTTTTTTACATTCAATATCTCAAACCCTTGGATATCTTGAAGCCTTTCCTCTGTGGGTTAGAGACAACAAAGTTTGACTGTAATTCATTCATTTACATACATGGGCAAAGATTAATGAAATGGTCTCTTAAACTCCCAGCATAAATATCTACCAACTTTTATAAAGTGTTTCTGGATTTTTCATGATTCAATCTTTAAATATATGGCAACAATATAGCAAAATACATGAACATGTTTATATATGAGTTTCAAAGCAAATTCAAAAAATCCATATATTTACATTTGCAAATGTTTTCCTTTATACAACACTACTGAAAGCAATGCGTATCTATAACTGTATAAATACCGGTACGGGGTCAAGAGGTCATAGATGTGCGTATGGATGAACGTTTGACGTCATTTTTCAGTGACGTCATAAAGGGTCGATGCACGTTCAGTGGATAACATACATGCTGTTGGGTTTGAAAAATAATGCACTTCAGGCGTTAAAAGTCACAATCAGGCAAATATAAAGTATGAATAAGTCACAAATGTAAATATAAGTAATAAGGTATCATTTTTAAACATCTATCGGGCTATAAATACGGGTTGGTACGAGATTAAATTCATCATAAAGCCCTTCGGGCTTTATGGAATTTAATCTTGTGACCAACCGTATTTATAGCCCGATAGATGTTTTAAAATGATACCTTATTTCTTAAATAAATGCCAATGATTTAAGGGAATGTTAAGGAAAAAATCTTAAAGTAATGTTTTTTAATGAATGTGCAAATTTTCCATTTTCTCATAAAAAAGCAATTTAAAAATTTGAAAACATCTGATTGTAAAGATTTAATTGCTTAATATGTTTTATTTTGAACATTTTTTTCAATTATAGCACTTTCCATTACATTACATGCAATTTAAACATTAGGATGTTTTTAACATAAAAAGAAATATTCTTCTATTATCTTTGTCTCTGAAGGATAGTTAATTTTAGAAATAGAAAACTCTCTTTCATCCAGTCACAGAAGTCCTGAATTAACTTCATACAGTGAACAATATAGGGTCTCTGTCAGATCAGCTTCCCTCCTCCACGGGAACTTCTAATATCCTTGGTCCATAGAGCAGAACATACGCCGAGTGCCAGTCACCTGTAGTCATCCATATTATACACATGAAATCAAGCAGCACTTGGAAATCAGCCATATTTAACAATCCAAATTTTTCGAAAAAAGCTTTATGCAAAAAATCCGATTTATTCAAGAGTTTTACATAATGATAATAAAACACACACAAAAATATTTTTTGAATTATCAAATCCTTTTGATTTCAATGTTTCTGAGATATAGTGAGAGAATTAATGTAAGAGAAAAGTTCAACTGTAAAAATGTGGTGCTTGTTATAATTACCTCCCCCTGACAACTTGAGTACATCCTCAGATGTCATACATGTCACATTGTCATCGTCAAACATAAACCATTCATCTGAAAATTGAAACAAATGATTCATTTTAATTATAAACTTTTGAAATAATCTAAATACTGATGTGACAACTTGACATTGTACCTACCCCCTTGCTTTTTCACCCAGGCTACATAATGTCCACTTGAACTAGATCTTCCTTTATGTGTGAGTACAGCTTGTAGTTCGTAAAATCCACTGTTGTTTGACCCTAAGTCTGAAAATGTGAAAAACATAGCCTTTCTTAAATAAGTCAAGACTTATCCAGACAACACAAGTACATCTGGTAGAAATTTTTTTTAAAGGTCTTCATCTCTCTATTCACTTATATGTTCCTCTATTTCAAACTGCCACAAGTCAAACATATGTTTGGAAGAAATGAAAACACATGAACTTAACTCACCATCAGGGAACCAGTATGGCTCTTTTTTCGTTGGCTTTTTAGGTTCCTCTGCATTCTTTCCTGTGGCTTTGTTCTAAAAGTATAAGAAAGTTGTTTACAAATGTGTTTTTCCCAAGTTCATGAAAGGCTCAAATTTAAAATGGGGCAAAATTGCTTGCAAATGTAAATGGATTAAAATAACCTGGTTTACTGGATGTTAATTTAAAATTATAGTCTTATCCTGAATATTCATCAAACTTTCATCATTTTCAGAGGTACATGTAAAGGGCTTGTCCTTTGTATGCATTTTATTTTCATTAGCTGATTGGCCCTTGCATACATTCCTTTATTAAAGCCCCCATTATTTTATAGACCCCTATTTACAAACAATGTATTTGTATCATATCCCATTAGCCTCCTCCATACACACCTGTATCATTTCCTCAGCCTTTTTGTCCTCTAACTCTTTGAATTTGTCCCTGGTAGGCTGAAGCTTAGCCTGTAGTTCTGGTGTACAAAGGTCATACACATCCAGACTCATTGTAAACTTTACATCCTAAAATAGCATCAAGAATTTGTAATGTAGCAATAAGCACACGAAACTTAAATATTAGACACTTCTCTAATAACAGTAACCTCTATATTAGATCAGCAATGAATTTTATTCATTTTCCAGCATTATTTATCAATCGGCAATCCTCAGCTGACTTCGCTACGCTCAATTCAAACCTCGGATGTGATTAGTGGAGGAATACGCATCAGATCCTTTACATTTCTCCGCCGGAAACTGCCTTATCACTCATTTCATATTTCGCTCTGCATAACGTTCTTCGAAAATGTTTCTTACTATGTGCAATTCTTTATCGTAAACAGGTTTTGATTACAACCTCATGTTAGTAAGCTTCAAAAGCAAGAAAAATCTGTTGAGTGTGCCACAAAATAACTTCCGATTTCAAATGTATGACATTTGAAAAAAATTTAAATAAGATCACATAACTTAATCAGCAAGATGGTAGATCACCGTTGACGTCCGAGGTTATGTGCGAGGTACGAGTCATCCGAGGAACTCCGAGTGATTATTTATGCCAGGTGGTGACAAAATGTTGTACAGTAATTTCCTAGATATACCAAAGAATTGTTTATAATGGTGTTATTTCATATTTGAATGATCTTTTTTATTATTTTATATCCTTTTTTCAGTATCTGAGATAACTTTACCTTTAAGATTTTGGCATTGACCCCTTCTTTCTCCTTGTAGTAGAAGCGTACAAACTGTATTGCTAGGTAGCCGGGGAGTCTGTTTATTTTACTCTACAAATAGTGTCAATACACCCTGTGTTATCATACCATCCACAGCTCATCTTAAAAATGTAAAAATTGACATATTATTTAATTAAAGTGATTACTTATTTAATCAAAGAAAAGAATGGACAACTTACAATTTTTTTATACACAGCATCTCTCCCTAAAGATGGAGAATTCTTTGTTATGTGTTCTTCCAAACGCTGTAAGTAAAAAGATTACCCTGGTATATCCATTCAAATAAACATTTGCAATTCATTTCGTGCATCTATATTTTGAGAGGTATATTTCATATGTAATACATGTACATTTTTTTTTATGTATTTTCATCAAGTTGTTATCAAAAGTAAAAAGCCTAGATAGAATCAATAATTTAATCTTTTTCTAAAACATGTCTCATGGTTTTACACTACAGACATTTACTCACATTTCTTAGACCAGTCTGCATGTATTTCACATCTGCAAAATAACAATTTGTCATTTTTCATTTTATTTATATTTCCGATTCAGAAGTCTTTGTGACTAATTAACTGCACAGTAAATTAAAACAAAATTTTAACAAAGTGCAAGGGATGGACGATTTTGCTTCGTTATAAATGTGATTTATAATATCCGTTTCAAAAAAATATATTTTAAAGACATGGGGAATAAAAATCATAACAATATCATAAGCATGTTTTCCTGAATTTAAAACTCTTTGACAAGAACAAAAGAGAAAAACACACAGACCTTTTTCTATGAAGCAGCTCAGTTGGTAAAATTTCTCTATAGACTTTGATTCTGGTTCCTCCTCGGACTCTTCACATTTCATTCTGGTCAGCTGTTAAGGCTTAGTACAGTTTCCAGTAAATGTATAAAGTAATGTGAAATCAATACCTTTTGTGGGGACTTAATTTTCGTAGTTTTCAAAAGTGTGACAAGACCCTTCAAACTTATGTCCACCCAAATATGCAATTTTTCACATATAGTTCTATTCAACTATTCCTCATCGATGAAATCAAAACCTCAGAAACCAATATATTTCCCTTAAACCAGGAAAATTTGACCCCTTGAAAATATGTGATTTTTATATACAGTAATCAATAATCTTTCATTTATCTTTTATATTTCATGAAACATTTGTTTCTGTCTCTACCTCTTAACAATTATTGATGAAAGAAAATTTTATAACAAGTAGGAAATAAACTCCAGGGAGATTTATTCTTACAACAATGTAAATCATATAATTAATGTAAATAATTTTGAAGTGTATATTGGTTTAAAGTTAAGATTCAAATCACAAAATGCATCAACAATGGAATCCTGATAAATCTATTTTCAAAGGATACGTGGATTGGAATTCTCCTCCTAAATACTGGTCTATGAATTTATTACTGGGTTTGGCACCCTCCTAAAAATGAAAGACATATTTAAAAATTACAAATACCCTACAACACCTGTTATAATAAAAGGTTATAGACATTTTTAGGTCACCTGAGTAAACTCAGGTGACCTATTGCCATCTGTTTTCGTCCGTCGTCGTGCGTCGTGCGTCGTGCGTTGTGCGTTAACATTTGAACATTTTCAGCTTCTTCTCTGCAACCACTGAACCAATTTCAACCAAATTTGGCACAAAGCATCTATGGGTGAAGGGGAACAAAAATTGTGAATTTCATGATCCCTGCCCCCCTGGGGCCTGAGGGGTGGGGCCAAAACCACTAAAATTAGTGCAATCTTTGAAAATTTTCTTCTTTACTCCTGGACATCAAGCAGTCAAACTGTTTGCATGATTGTAATCAGCATTGAGTCCTCTACCAAAATTGTGAAATTCATGGCCCTGGGGTCAAGGGTTCTAGTGCTAGGGCGGGGCTAAGTAAGTATATAGTGAAAATGCATTATTTCATTGAAAATCTTCTTCTCTGCTCCTGGGTATTAAATAAACCAACTAAGTGCATAGTTATAATGAGCAAGAGTGCCTCTACCAAAATTGTGAATTTTATGGCCCCAGGCGCTGAGGGTCAGGGGTTCTGGTGTTAGGGTGGGGCTCTATAGATTATATGGTAAAAATACATGAATTCTTTGAAAATCTTCTTCTCTTGTCCTAGGTATTAAATGAATAAACTAAGTGCATAGTTATGATGAGCAAGGGTGCCTCTACCAAAATTGTGAATTTTATGGCCCCAGGGTCAGGGGTTCTGGTGTTAGGGCGGGGCTCTATTGATTATATAGAGAAAATACATGAATTCTTTGAAAATCTTCTTCTCTGCTCCTAGGTATTAAATAAACTAACTAAGTACATAGTTATGATGAGCAAGAGTGCCTCTACCAACATTGTGAATTTTATGGCCCCAGGGTCAGGGATTCTGGTGTTAGGGTGGGGCTCTATTGATTATATAGTGAAAATACATGAATTCTTTGAAAATCTTCTTCTCTGCTCCTAGTTATTAAATAAATAAACTAAGTGCATAGTTATGATGAGCAAGGGTGCCTCTACCAAAATTGTGAATTTTATGGCCCCAGGGTCAGGGGTTCTGGTGTTAGGGCAGGGCTTTATAGATTATATAGAGAAAATACATGAATTATTTGAAAATCTTCTTCTCTGCTCCTAGGTATTAAATAAACTAACTAAGTACATAGTTATGATGAGCAAGAGTGCCTCTACCAAAATTGTGAATTTTATGGCCCCAGGGTCAGGGGTTCTGGTGTTAGGGTGGGGCTCTATTGATTATATAGTGAAAATACATGAAATCTTTAAAAATCTTCTCTGCTCCTAGGTATTAAATGAATAAACTAAGTGCATAGTTATGATGAGCAAGAGTGCCTCTATCAAAATTATGAATTTTATGGCCCCAGGGTCAGGGGTTTTGGTGTAAGGGCGGGGCTCTATTGATTATATTAGTGAAAATACATGGATTCTTGGATTTTTTTTTCTCTACTCCTAGGTATTAAATAAACTAACTAAGTATATACTATAGTAATGATGAACAAGAATGCCTTTTCCAAAATTGTGAATTTTATGGGTTTTTTTTAGGGTTGGGTTTCTGTTGTTAGGGCGGGGCTCTATTGATATTATAGTGAAAATACATGAATTGTTTGAAAATTTTCCTTTCTGCTCCTAGGTATTAAGCAGGTGAACATACCTATATAGTTATGATGAGCAAGGGTCCTAATCTTCCAGAATTGTGAATTTCAAGGCCCCGGGGTCAGGGGTACCATAGATGGGGGGAGGGGGGGGTTACTTATATACTAAAAATGAATGAATTGTTTGAAATCTGTTCCTTGGTATTAATCAAATATTTTTGAAAAGCAAGGATGCAATTGTGCAAAGTTTGGATCTAGGCCTAAGGGTCAGGGGTTCATATGTGAAAGGGGCACTACTGATTAGTTGACATGCATTTTTTGCTCCCCTACCCTGCCTTTGGGTATTCAATAACCAAACTAAGCAACTGCTATAAGCGTATTGTTATAATGATCAATGGTGCCTCTTTCAAAAATTGTGAATGCCATAGCATCTGGCTTAAAACATGAATCAAATTCAGTCACTGGAAAGTTGTTGCATAATGCTCAGGTGACCTATAAGGCCCATGGGCCTCTTGTTAATCTCCAAATAGTAAACAATGAAATCAGTAAAATCTACATTGTATTTTGCTGATAACAGAATTACTGCAATTATAAATCTCCTTTGTGTATAAAGTGGAATACAAAGTAATGGTTCAAAAATTTTATTTTCTTTAGTTCTTGTAGTATAAAAAGGATTCATTTGATAATTAATCCCTATATTTTGTTTTACCTTGATGAGTTCCTCAGGTACATCCACTTTCTGTTGCAGGCACCTGACCACCTCTGTCCAGCACTCATTAGCATCCTGTATAATGTCCAGAAAATACTCATCTGACAATACCAAAATATTCAAGGGGAGACAATTGGTCTGATGGCTATCATAATGGCTATTACTAAAGTACACTATACTACAAGACTTAGTACAAGTACCCCAGTACACTAAATGAGTATATAATGGATATTGTCATGAGATATTAAGGATTTTTATATTCCTTATAACTGAAAATTTGAAAATAAAAACTCTGGTATATACTGTAAAACGAGAAAATTTGGCGCTTACGTATTTTAGTGCAAACGCAAGTGGGAGTGCATTGGCGCAAATAAATTTTAGCGCTTGCACTTGTCAGTAAAATATATAAATGTGATATTTTGTTTTTTCTTATCCACACCCGTATTTGACTTTTTGGTTTGTCAAGCACAGAAACACATTAGTACTCCCGTCTGTCAGTAAACATTAGTTAACTTTACCGCGGTACGTGTTCCTATCACATGGACGTGGTACAATGTTAAAATTTATTTTATTTCTATTTTCAATTAAAAGAAATGGAGTATTTACTCATTTAAATCTCATTAAAACAATGCATGCATCGACAGAAAATTACTCAGATAAAACAGTAATCCTAATCAGTTATTGTCTGCAAGCTCAATTGCCATGCTTGATTGTATTGTTTACTTCGAGGCGACAGATGATTGACACGCTGAGAAGCCAAACTTTGAAGGTGTTAATGATAATAATCGGGTAACAACTACTCCGGTAACAGTAGTCTAATTAAATCATAATTTGGCAGAACTTTCTGTCTTCCAAACATGTTTAGTGCTAGTGTGTATATAAAATCCAATGACCCTTCGACATTACGTAATCGCACGTTCCTGTTTACATGTACTTACATGTATGTAAAAGCTTTGAACACACACAAAAAATGATATTTAGAAATCCTTTAGCGCACAATAAATTTTAGCGCTAAGGCCAAAGTTTTTATTTTTTTTGGTTTACGATTTTTAGACACAAAAATATGCATTGGGTGGTCGAAAAATAAAAATAAAAATAATTTGGAACCTTGACATATTTTTTCTCGAGTAGCATTGAAATGTATTCAAATAAAAATGATAAACACACAAGATTTTTCAACTTTAATTATTTTTTCTTATCATTCGGTTTTAAGTCAAGAAAAACAAATCACTCGTCAAATGACTCAAGAATAGAAATGGGAGTATCAGGCTCTGTTACTGTTGATGGTTTTCATTCTTCCGACTTACAAGTCTGAGTTTCCATAATAGACACATATATTGCACTGGGACAAATATGGGTAAAATTAAGCAAATTGACTATTCTCTGGTCAGCCTTTCCACTTCCGAAAAAATTTTTGGAAACTCCGAAAGTGATTGCTTTCACAACAAACCTTTACCTTAAGATATGTGTGTCCAGGGACCAACCTAGACCCACCCGATTAAGGAGACTTCACTTCTCCCTCAAAGAAATTTAAGGAGAAGTTTTGAAATTTAAGGAGACTTCTTGGTGTGTATACGTGGCACACTTTAATCGTTATAAAACTATTTCATTGTTTAAAACTTACATTACATTTCAAAAAATTTCTGTATAAACATTGTATTTAAAATGATTAAAAAAGATAAAAAGAATCTTAAAAGATATTTCCCCAAATTACAAGGTATATAAATATCTAGATAAAATAATAAAACAACATTGACATTAAATAAAATTTACTACTACATGTACTTCTATTAAAATGTAAAAGTTTCTTATTGTCAATTTAATTGTTTATCAGACTTTTTTTTTCATTTCTTATATTAATAGTATGTACAATCTTAAACTTCTAAAATTTGTCTCATTAGATTACCAGGCTTTTGGCAATCCAGGCATAGTCATAATTGTGTTAATTTCTCATCAAACTTGTTTTCAATATAAAATTCTGTTTCTAATAAAAGTTTTGATGCACACTTGCATGCCGACTGAACAGCTACTTATGTTTATCGAATCTGTCTTCTGATGTGTAACTTCTTAGAAAGCTAATAACTTCACAATTTATCAGTAAAAATATGTCTGTATTCACAGCATGAATTAATTATTTGACAATAATAAAGATCTAAAATCTTCTCCAACATCTTTGGCATGACATCGATAGCTGTCCAGCTGCTTTGCGTCTTGTTGTGTATAACTTGTAAGGATGGACTTTTTCATACCCGGAAGCGTAAAATCTAGAGGAGTTCCGACGGAGTATTCGATGCATTGGTCATTGGCAATGTGGTTTGACAATCTGTATTTGTAGAGTTCATTGAATGTTTGTGAGAGTTTGGGTTAATGATTAAGATGTGTTGTAAATTTTGGTTTGGTCAAGAAAATTTCGAGCCAGACACATTATTTTTATTTTCGTAAATAGGGAAAAATAGGGTCGGCGGAATCGTAAACCAAGAGAGAAAAAAACTTTGGCCTAAGGGGCTCTTGTGCCAAAGGCGCTAAAATTAGTAGTGCGCCAAATATTCTCGTTTTACAGTATCACATTTCCTTTCAAAACAGACACGAGCCTATAATAAGAGAAATATCTTACCTGTTGAGCAAAGCCACCATGTTCACTTTTCTCAGCAAACTGAGGATATGCCATGTGAAGGACTTGGAGGAATATGATAGGTGGAATGGCTGCACCAGTTTTGTCCATGGAGCTATACAGATCTCGAAGAGCTGCATATAATATGGCACAAAAATATCTAATCATTTCAGGGAAGAATGAAACACACAATAAAGTACAGGATCTAGTTTTATTTTTCAAGTTTTAATGTGAATAGGGTACAAACCTGCTGTGATTGAGTCTGCAGTAGAAATTCCCCCTGCCACAGTCAGACCACCACTATATCTATTGAAAATTGAAAAATGTCTTATAAGAAATGAATACAGGACTAAATTGACCCATTTTGTAGAGGGTCATATATCCTTACAATTAGGAAATTCAAATAGAACAAGAGATGTTTGTAAAACACGTATGCCCCCCTCCCCCCAAATTGGATTTTTTCTAGGTCCAAAAGGGCATTACTCTGTCTAAAATGGTGCGATTGTCCCCAAAAAAGAACTTGACTTAGATATTCAGCTGAAAAATCTGTAAACTAAATTTGCAACCTCTGCAAAGAAAATGAACGGAAACTGCAAATAAGTGGAATTTTTCTAAGTCCAAGGGGCATAACTCTGACAAAAAGGGTGCGATTGTACCCAAAACAGAACTTGACCTAGATATTCAGCTGAAAAATCTGTATACTAAATTTCATTTCAATATGTGCAACCTCTGCAAAGAAAATGAACGAAAACTGCAATTAAGCGGAATTTTTCTAAGTCCAAGGGGCATAACTCTTACAAAAAGGGTGCGATCATACCCAAAACAGAACTTGACCTAGATATTCAGCTGAAACATCTGTATAATAAATTTCATTTCAATATGTGCAACCTCTGCAAAGAAAAGGGGGGCATAAAAAGGAGTGGCAAAAGTAGGAAATATTAATGTTTTATCATGTTTTATTGTAGAACGAACTAGTGCTAATTGTAACGGGGACCGTTACAGATGTTCCCCAAACGCTCCCAACTCCCTTTTGGTGACATATTCCCCTTTATCTCTATTAAATAAAAAATACTTTATGGAATTTAGACTTAATCAAGGTCTTCCCGAAAAAAAAAAATTAAAAATAGGCATTGCACGCGTGTTCATGTGCGTAACGACCATATTATCTTGTCTACACTATCTAAAATTTTAATATACTTAATATCAAAGCATTTAATCCAGAAGCATTAAAAATGCACACATTCAAGTGTATTTTTAAATTTCACTTATTTCACGTGCACGGACTTGCACGCACGTGCAAGCACGTGCATAATGACTTCACCTTCTTGTACGAGTCTTATATTTATCTATGTTCTAAATCCCATCCTGTTTGGTTGAAAAACAAGGGAGTTATAGCCATTTGAATTTTCAGCCAATCAGATTGCAGCACACATGTTTGCACGTGATTTCATAATTTTTTTATCTTCATCGTATTGAAAGGATGTCAAAATGATTGACTATATTTTAAAATTCCAAATATTTCGTCAAAAAACAAAGGAGATATAGCCATTTAAAGTTTCAGCCAATCAGATTGCAGCACACCTGCATGCGCGTGATTTCATTAATTTTTTTCTGTATCATATTTTAGTATATTCTTATGCATGACTATGTTTTAAATTTCAAAGCATTTCGTCAAAAAACAAAGGAGATATAGCCATTTAAAATTTCAGCCAATCAGATTACAGCACACGCAGATGCGCATGCTTTCATGAAAATTTTTATATATCATGCTGTAGATCTTCATAATATAGGACTATGTTCAAAATTTCAAAAGATTATGACAAGAAACAAAAAAGATATTGAGACTTTAGTTTCAGCAAATCAGAGGGAAGCACACGTGCATGCGCGTGAGATCTTGCCATATTGACCACGTCATCTTATTTATACTACTAATATATCCTTATATTATGAGTTTCAAAACATTTCATCAAAAAATAGAAAAGTTACGGTAGGATTCAATATATTGGTCATTTCACGTGTTGCACGTGCCCGCACTTGCAAGCACGTGCGCGCAAAATGACCTTCGTTCGGCAACTCTACATAACATGCCTACTAACCCTAAAAACATTTTACCTTAGTCGGATGTGTAGTTAACAAGATCACTCGTGGACAAAATTTTCCCAGGAAGAAGAAAAATAATAATAATAATAAGAAACAGAGTAAAAACAATATGTTCCCCAACTTCGTTTGGGGAACATAAATATGCACAGATCTTTGTGATTTTAAAATTCACAATTGTTAATAAAAAAAAAAAAACACTGAAAATTTCAATGTGCTTTGCATTTAGAAAATTTTTCTGTAATATTGTGAAAAAAGTCAGTTTACTGGAACTGCATGGAACAATATTTTAAATTTGTTTTTTTCTTTTCAATTAAATTAAATTGCATTTTTTAGAAATAGTTACAGCTTACTTTTTCAAGGCATCTCTAAGCTCTGGGATTGCTCTCAAACATTGTACTGTAGCATTCATATAGCAAGTGTTTCCAAGATTTGTTAAACCTGGAGGCATTTCCAACTAGGGAAGAGAAAAATTGAATCAATAAACATATCAAGGCACATTTTTAATCTATATACATGTTTTTTATGGATGCTGATTATGACAACTGTTTTCAAGTCATCTAAATCATCAGGGTTTATGCTAATTGACTGTCTGATTTCCCAAAATTATAAACTGTACATTCAATTATATTCTCCTCCACTTATCAATAAAATATAAACCAAGCTCTATAATGTCATGCATGTTTCTAAGCCAACCAATCATAGTTTTTCCCCCAGCCCTTTGTACTTTCTTTACTTAATCCCTTCTGGCTCCAATACAGATTAAACATAGGTACTACCCTTTTAAAAGCCTTTTTAAATTCCATCACTTTATTGACTGATCAAATCGATTATTGACCTCACCCCCCTTCTTTGTGTTAATTAATTAATACTTACTGCTGTTGCTAATTGCTGTTCTGTCATATCTTCCACAAACATAGTCTTTTCAACAGGTGCTTGTGGTAAGGCGTCAGCACTACCCATCATCATCAACATCATTCCCTATATACACAAGCAGTAAAATTGAAGTACTGTAAAACACGATTACAGAGATCACACTTCTTCCAGTGAAGTTATTTTCATTCCCCTCAGCTTTTAAATATAATGTAAACTTAATGGATATTATTTATGTATACAAATGTAACCATTAATCAATCTTTTTTGTGCTGAATTCTTTTAAAATGTGATACTTTTTGACTTACATCTTTTAATTTGATGTTTCCCCAGTCATCATCCTGTTTAAAAAATAAAAAAAAATTTAAAAAGATCAAATCATAAACTTCAATGTCAACATTAAAAAATGTATTCATTATTTATGCAGTTACTGTTTAAGTATTTAGAAATATATTAAGTGTGTATGATATTAGAAAGAAAGCTGACTTTGATCAAATTAGTATAGATTTGATTTAGTGCATTTCATTACGCTCTTAATCAAAATTATTTAGTGGTGTACTTGAATAAGCTGAAGTTTCTTTCTGCCAAATGTTATACATTTACAGTATGTTTACTGAAAATAAATCATAACAGTCAATGCACATGTATTACGAAGTAAATTTCCTAAAATAATAGAAAGTTTTATGGCTTAAGATACAAAAATCTGCATTATAACCACCTTCACAGTAGCTCCTTTGATCATGATTTTCTGTCGATCTGGCTGAACCCCCGATAAAGCAAAGAGCTGAGCCTTGAACACCATTGGTGGTTCATCTGTATTGCATTCAACATCACTAAACTTCTCCTTTCCCCACTTAACATTGACTAAAAAACACAAAAAATGAAAAACAGGTGACATCAGATGACAAGATACGTCAAACAGATCTACTTTTAAAAACTTTTGATTTGCAGTACTAGATAGAATTATGAAATTACAATGTACAGAGAACCATGTTAACAGAGCCTGTATTTGAACAATAAGTTACAGAGTACTAGTGTTGCAAAATCGGGCCAAAGTTCCAATTTATTATCAACCAGACAATAGATTATTAATCAATAATTCAAACTGTGTAAGACTTCCGCTAAGTTTAGTAATCGCGATATCAAGTATTGTCATGGACGAACTGCCAAAAACGATTTTTGGATAGTTGGTGATGCAACAACACTACAAAGTATGGAAAGTAATCTAAATCAATTACTATAAAAATACATTTTATTGCTATACTTGTCATCTTTAAATGACTGGAAAAGTTTTTTTGTGCGAAAAAAAATCAAATACAAGTACCTACTGTGACTTTGCAATGAACCAGTAATTAAACCCACAGGCACTTGTTTCCTATACGGGGTACCCCCTACATATTACCACAAGGAACCTAACTCATTTTCAGACACCCCCACTTCAAGCCCATATTTTTTTTAATTCCTCGAAAATTACCTCGATACATTTAAAGACTTTTATTGGGATACAATTTCTGATTTGGGTTAGGATAAAACCAGTGGCTTCTGAGTATTCCATTCTGAGGTCTCTTGTTTTATCCTACATCTATAACACCAACAAGAAATACATGTATCTTATAAGATGCCTTACTTTGTATCAAGGTAATTTTTTTGGGTAAATGAGTGGTTTACATTAAAGAGGCTGGACCAGAGACTTCTGAAACGATTTAACTGACATAAAAAAGTCTCTAAGAGAACAATGTCATTTTACAGTAGTTTAATGATTGATATTTTAACAAAATACGAGCTTGAAGTGGGGGTGCCTGAAAATGAATTAGGTATTTTTAGGTAAAAATAAGTAGGGGTACCCCGTATAAGCAACAAGTGTCTGTGAACATACCATTTCCCCTTTTAATTTCTTTTTCAGTAGGAAATACTTCATAAAAACGATTATATATTAATATGTCAAGTTCTATTGATTTTAAAACAACAGAACAAATTTGTTGAATTACCATAATGAATATTGCTAAATCATTCTAACGTACTACTTATCAATGAGAAAAAATCCCTACGATTTGATGAAATGTTTCCTTTCTCTGAATTCCCAAAAGGTTCTACTTTCTCAATTTCGATTATAAAACGTTTTTCAAGTGAGTTTATCATTAAATGGGATGCAAACCTTTGTAAACCGGCATGATTCTTTTTTGTAAGTGTACAGCATGAACAGGAAGTTGTGTAAATTAAAGTAAAATACAAAATGTTGTTCCGAAAAGATGTACATGCATAAATACCAAATAAGCAAAGTAAATGTCCTTTATTTTAATTAAATAAATAATTAAACGTATAAAAAGTCCAGGCATGGATCTTTGCAAACAGCATTAAAATGTTCTTTTATAAACTGATTTAATATGCATAATGACGAGAGGCCCATGGGACACAACACTCACCTGAACCCCTCTTGTCCTCATTATCACATCATTTGACCCTCCTACACTTTCTCCCCTATGTACATGTATTCCTATGTAAAATTTTGATAGTCTTTTGAGGGCCCAATCCTATACCCAGGGGCTTGATTTGAGCAAGATTTAATCAAAATGAGTAGAGAATACTTTCACATTTGACTGTACCTAGGCCCTTTCTGTTTCTTTGCTGTTCTTGAGTGGATATTTGAAAAAAAAATCCATTTTAGTCCCCTACCCCCACGAACTATTATCCGAACAATTTACAATCTACACTATCAAAGAAAGCTTTAAATCAAGATTTAGCATATTTCTGGTCCAGGAGTTTTTGAAAAGTTTTTTTGGTAAAATATTTTTCCTATGTATCTTAAAATTTGATTCTACAAGCCAAAAAAGGGAATTGCTCAAACACGAAAATCAGTCCTATGGGGGGAAGGGTAGGTTCAACTTCTTTCAGTACCAAATTTTCCTCCCCCCCCCCTCCTTGCTACGTGCCTGCTTTCACCTTAATTTTATATTTTCTAGACCAATGGTTTCTGAAAAATATATATGTATAAACGTAATTCAAAGTAAAGCGTCGATTCCTTTTTGTGGTGCCTTTTTGTGGTGTGGAACCCTACTCCCATGCAGAGACCCATTCGGCAAACCTCGGCTGATTCCGTGGACTACATCAAACCTCGAGGTTAGATGAGGTATGAATCGACCGAGGTGTGCCGAGTGGCAGAGTCCATGATTTATCATAGAATAGATTCTTCACACCTCAGGAATCTTTCACGGAAGTTTTAGTTTTTCTGGTCCAGTGGTTCTTGACAAGTTTTTAAAAAAGTTTTTCCTATACATAATGTATGTCAAACTAAAACATTGATTTAATACTCTGATCACACCTAATCTCCCGCCGTGGGTGGGGGTGGGGGTGGGGGGGTTGGGGGTATTCGAACTAGGCTTCATGTATTTAGAATCCTCATCACCATAGGTCACTATCCCACTCTATTTTTGCATTTTTTTAATTACCTTCCCTCGGAAGGTCCAGACAGTGGTTTCTTGAGAAAAAATTAAAAATATGAAAAGTTAAAAAAGATTGAGCTCAGTTAAGCTAATTTTCTGGGTCAAGAATATTCTATTTCTTATAAAAATCTGTGTAAAACAAAAAACTGTGTATATATTTCATTCGTATCTACTTACCGTTCACGGAAATGGCCGAGTAGTTACGATTGATAAATATTTACCACAGGCACTTGACGTTACTTATTTTTCTTTTAATAAAAAAATAAACCCTACCTAATAGTAAACTTAGGTTGGGGTGTATTTTTTTTAATTAAAAGAAAAATAAGTAACATCCTGTGATATTTACGCGTGTGAAACGTGATAAAAAAAAATATCCCATTGTTTGTAGTTAAATATTTTGTAGCCAATTCGTTCACTGACTTTTGCTAATTGCTTACAATTTGACGCAACTTGTTCGAGTTGACTTGGTTACGAGTCAGTCACGTTACGAGTTGACTTGATACCATTCGGATCAGATGGTTCTAGTTTTACCCACACCTTTTATCAGTGCTTTCAGTCCCGCAGTAAATAGCTTCGGTGGGAACAAGCGTTTCAGAAGCAGAGAAACCTCAGAAGGTAGTCACCGATTAACTTGATTTCATAATAATAAGGAATATTTGTCTGTGTCATACTTTTCTTGGATCTGAAGTATTTATTTATATATAGATAACAAGGATATTTCTATGGAAGGTATTTTATGACGCATCGAAAATCAAAATGTTAATCTCTCCATGATATATATTTTTTTTTGACATTAGGCGCCTATTAACTTTACAAATTATGTACGTTTTTAGGGCCTGGTAATTGTCAGAGTGATTTCAAAGATAGCAAAAATTCATTTGAAGAATGAGTGCATCTGTAAAATGCACACTCGCTCTTGTAGCCAAAAAAATTGATTTATGTATGATGTAAGCATTCATACAGTTTAGTAGTAGTATAGATCATATTCATAAACATTAGAAGGCAATTTTAGGTTTAATTTTTTAAAAAATAGTTTACAGTTAGAGAGTCTTGCTCCTTTGTTGTCCCCTATAATATTCCTTTACTGAGGAATTTAAGTGTGTACATTGAAAGATGTCATGAGGTTCGTTTGATTTTACAGCAATTATTCGGACCAATTTGGTATAAATGTTATAATGTTACTTTGAAAAATCTTCTTCTTTGTTAATCAGTTTGAAATGAAAAAAAGTCAAAGTAGATGAAATATAGTGATGATTATTAGTGTTAAATCTAGACCCTAAAAAGGGCATGGTAATCAAGGAATCAAAAGGGCACTTTGTGTCGCGACGGGATCTCACGAGGGCACTTTTAAAACAAATGTATTAAAATGTCTTTATAAAGATTATATTAATCATTAATTTTTACATACTTTAACATTTTTAATTACCTTTGATATCCTTTCATACTGAAATCTTTATTTAAACAAGTAATTTAAAGATAAATTCATATATCTGTATTCCATTCATTTTTTTAAAAATATCAACACAATTAGCACACCTGGGCTGACATGACAATTATTGAAACAAAAAAGGATATAAAAAAGGCATTTACATCCAATTTCTTTAATAAAAAAAGTAGTAAAGTTACACTTGAGAAAGTAATGGTATTAATCTAGCTGAAACATCTTCAAAAATTATTAAACTTTGGAGGTATGTTTTTTTTTTTACCTACTTGGACTGTGTTATTTGTGTACTAGTACAGTCAATTTAAAAATACTTTTTTCAGGGAAGAGGGGGAGGGACATTTTGAAAAATACATGTAGAGACCATTCTATTTACTTGGAAAATATTCTACCAACAGGATAAAGTGAAAACTGGTCTTACTCCCAATATATTTTGTTAAAAAAAAACTCTGGCTTTAATTAGAAATATTGACCCTCAGCTTATCAAATCTATCAGTTCAATCAAAGAAACTAACTTAACTGTTGTTTTTAAGCCTTTTTATAACATTACATTCAGTTATTTTGGTGCACTGTAAGTATTTTATTCAGATAAAATATCCGTTTTTTCTTCAAGTTCAACTATGTGTTTTATTCTACTTTCTGTTTAAAAAACGATCCTGATTTTAATTAGTAAATAATTTACAAGTTAATTTATTTGTCTTGGGCTTATTCTTGCATAATCAATGCAATCAAATGACAGTTTCTCAAGTTAAATCCTCTACCCTGACAGCCTGAGGCATGTTAATTAGCCAGGTGGCTGTGTGGTGCGTTCAAGCGTGAAGTGATTTCCTGTCGTTAAACAAAGGGATTATCAGCATGCACTGAATAAACAGAGCATTTTGCCATATTTATTAATTTTGAAATTCCACTAATTTGGATATTTAAGGAAATAAGGGCATGTTTTTGGTGCACACAAAGTGGGCGTATGGATCAGGCGATGGCGTGGCAGTTTATTCAGCTGGGTCAGGGTGTAAAAGTTGTTGAACAAACTGTCACACTTTAATATTTGTCACATTTAAACCTAATTAGGGTTCCCTTCAGCCCTTTTCATTCAACCCCAAAAACATTTCCAATATTTTGACAAGTTTACAGAATCATCACTGGAAATAGGAGTTATTATTAGCCCCTGAGCCCCCCCCCCCCCCTTTTTTTAAAAATGTGTCACTAAATATTGCTTTTTCTAAATAAATTAATGTATTAAGGCCAAAGTTTTTTTTTCTCTTGGTTTACGATTCCGTCGACCCTATTTTTCCCTATTTACCAAAATAAAAATAATGTGTCTGACTTGAAATTTTCTTGACCAAATGACTGTTTTTATAATTTACAACACATCTTAATCATTAAAGCCATTCAAGTGACTTCCACAAATACAGATTGCCAAACCACAGACACCAATTAGGGTGCGAAACAGACTATTTTTAATGACCAATGCATCGAATACTCTGTCGGAACTCCTCTAGATTTTACACTTCCGGGTATGAAAAGTCCATCGTTACAAGTTATACACAACAAGACGCAAAACAGCTGGACAGCTATCGATGTCGTGCCAAAGATGTTGGAGAAGATTTTAGGTCTTTTTATTGTCAAATAATTAATTAAATTGTAAAGTTATTAACTTTCTAAGAAGTTACACACCAGATCCGATAAACATAATTAGTTCAATCGGCATGCAGATGTGCATCAAAACTTATAATGGAAAAAGAATTTTATATTGAAAATAAGTTTGAAGGGAAATTAACAAAATTATGACTATGCCTGGATTGCCAAAAGCCTGGAAATCTAATGAGAGGAGAAATTTTAGAAGTTTAAGATTGACAGCTACTATGTAAGAAATGAAAAAAAAAAACGTTTGATAAACAATTAATCTGACAATAAGAAACTTTTAAATTTTAATAGTAGTAGTAGTAAATTTTATTCAATGTCAATGTTGTTTTATTACTTTTTCTAGATATTTATATACCTTGTAATTGGGGGGAAATATCTTTTAAGATTCTTTTTTTTTCCTTTTTTAATTATTTTAAATACAATGTTTTACAGAAAAATTATCGAAATGTATGTAAGTTATAAGCAATGAAATAGTTTTATAACGATTAATGTGTGCCATGTACGCGCGCCAAGAAGTCTCCATAAATTTCAAAACTTCTCCCTAAATTTTTTTGAGGGAGGAAATAATGGGGATTGGTCCCTTGACACACGTATCTTAGGGTAAAAGTTTGTTGTGAAAGCAATCCATCACTTTTGGAGTTTCCAACAACTTTTTCATAAAAGGAAAGGCTGACCAGAGAATAGCCGATTCACTTTAATTTTACCCATATTTGTCCTAGTGCAATGTGTCTAATATGAAAACTTGGACTTGTAAGTTGGAAGAATGAAAACCATCAATAGTAACAGAGCCTGATACTCCCATTTCTGTTCTTGAGTCATTTGTTTGTTGACATAAAACCGAATGGTAAGAAAAAATAATAAAGTTGAAAAATCTTATGTGTTTATTAGTTTTATTTGATTCATTTCAATGCTACTCGAGAAAAAAATATGTCAAGGTTCCAAATTATTTTTATTTTTATTTTTCGACCGCCCAATGCATATTTTTGTGTCAAAAAATCGTAAACCAAAAAAAATAAAACTTTGGCCTAATCAGGAAAATCATTGGATTTTGAAGATACGAAAGTAATTGTTTTACATTTTCCACTGACAACAGAATAATTTTCTTACACATGTAATTGTTTTTCATTGATTTTTTTCATTGTTTGTCTCTTTATTTTTACAGCCATCATTTTCAAGATAATGGGTTTATAGGACTGTGAATAGCCATTTGTAGGAACGCCTTTATAATCAGCATTTTTCAGTCAGGAGATTTAGAAAAAGCTTTATTGGAAAAAGGAATACATGAGGAATGGCATCTGAGGGAGCCAACTTTTTTTTTCATTAAAATGGCTATTTCTAAATGATGCCATTGGTTTATAGATTTGTATTATAATACAGGTGCACAATAGAAGGTTAGAGTGAGACAATTCTGCAGGGGAGGGATAGATATATTTGAAGAGTAGTCACATTATTTTCAAAAAGCAATTTTTGCCAAATTCACTTTAAGTCTATTGTGGTGGTATAATATAATTTTTTTAAAGAACTGTAATTTTCATTTATCTTCAGGATGCTTACATCTATTTTGGTATCAATCATTAAATCAATAATTCTATTTCCTATGATAATGATTTTTTCTATTTCACTCACACACTAATTTTTTCAAGAATGAGATATTTAGCCAGTTTCCAGGTATATAACTACCTAGCTCATACCAGAGTCAAGATCTGAGTCCAAATACTCAAGTTGATAGCAGTTAAAGTTAATGTACAACACATTAAACTTAAGGTCCTAACAGGCCAGAAACATATGCACTAACAATCATATTTTTTGTGTTTGTTGATTGACTAAAAATATCGGTAATGGAATTGGGAACATGGTTCACTGGACCTCTGATTTGGTTCAAATCCACCTCCCCATTTTTTTTGCAAGATATACATGTACAGTTGAGTCATTTAACTTTTTAAAAAAGGTTGATTGCTGTCAAAATTGACCTAGAATTGAGTGTTCTAATGAAAGTCTTTTGTGTTTTTAGTATACAAAGACTGACAACTACATTAATTGTGGAGTAGATGATTTAGATCATGGAAACTTGATACAGGAACTCAAATTCAACTGACGTCTTCCAGAACCCATTACATATATATATATGCTTTTGTATAAATTGGAAAAATATAGCTTATTAAGCAAAGTATATAATTTCAATTCATATTAAAGTTTTCATTGAAAGTTTGTTTAATTAACTCATAGAAAGTACATTTTTGGCACCCTTTTTGGGACATTTAAATGCATAATTCATTGATTTCTCATCAAATTGATAAATAATTGAACACTGTACTTCCCAAAACGATTCTGGTCTAGTTCTGAAAGTCACATGTCTGATTCTTGGTGCAATATATGATATCCATTTATCGTGGATTTGATATGTGGAGGGGACTAAATTGCCCAAGAATACACACAGGTAGACAGATCATTGCAGTCCTAAAAATGGATAAGGACCACAGAATGACAAATTAATGGAATGTGAGAGTAATTGTTAGTAATTAAATTTTCTGTGTCAATTCACGCGAAAGGTAAACAAGATAAGTGTGTTATTGGGGGTATTGAGGCCGTTTTATCATTGTTTATCAGGGACTGAGTTCATTTGACTTTTGTGGCCTGTGGAGATTGTTGACAAGTTACTTACTTTGACTATGTTAGGTAGATACATCTCCTGGGTATGTACGTAAACAATGGAGACACTGAGGGTATAGGGTTAATGAAGTGTGGTCCTTTTCTCAATCCTTCTTTCTTGATCGAGACCCAAGGATTGTTATAAACGTAGACTTTAATTATTTTTATGACCATGAGAGCAGACAAAAACTATCCATTGTATCTTTTACAGCATTTCCATTATTCAATTAAATGTTTCTTCAAATTTTACAGTGTTGTCCAAAGCTTAGAACTTTTTGTAGAACATTCTGAATTTGATTTGTAATATTCCAGACCATTTGCTGTTCAGACATGTTAGTAATTTTAGTAATTCCTTATAAGAACTTCATCATCCCCACTCATTTGTGTTCAATCCATTCTTCATTTCTCTTTAAATGCTTTTATCATAGATGCACCAAAATACTTACACAACCATTAAAATCATCTTTATTAAGCTTAACCTGTCTGACATTAGTCCAGAGGTGCTTGTGAGGGTACATGAAGGGAAAACAGTTTTTTTAATCCCTGTTGCAAGTGACTAATGTCACATTAGGTTTATAGATAAACTAAATTCCATTTAAATTTAGCATATGATTTATCAAAGAATTTGATGGCTAAAATTTTATATTCATTGCGATATTGTCATCTGTGTCCTTTGATAATAACAATCTGAATCAATGCATAAATTCGGTGTAATAAAACATGTTAAAACTTCAAAATAAACTTCAAAGGGTTTATAATGTTGAACTTCATAAACATTACACATTATTTAGAGATTTATATTGGTAGTGTATAAATTAAGGACATGGAAGTTTAAAGATTTTTTTAAAAAGTTCATTGATGTTAAGATTGTTGTGCTAAAACTTCATTTAATTGGCAGCATATCAATATGAACTGTGTAAATGATGGATGGCATATGAGATCATGCCTGCTATCTGGTTTGTTAAACCATGTAAAGCCAGTTTATTCATTTTCCATTCTTTAAAAGGGTTGTATTATTGTCATTGGAATCCACATTTCTTGGTTGTGCAAGGAGGAAAAGGACAAAGAGCTGATCCTAATCTTCCGAGTGTTTGTGTGACCGCAAATTTGTGACGTTGGGTGATTAAAACATTACCAGTTTTGTCAGCTCATCAAGTATGTCAGAAGGGTTTCTTTTTATTTCTTTCTTAATGAGTTAGAATATGTAAAGGGTTATTTGAAAGAAGAGGAAAAAACTCAGAAAAATGGTTTTGTAAATGTTTATGAAATTTCCAAGTGGCCTTGGATTATGAAAATATTGTAATGCTTTATCTCAGATTTGCAGAAAACTAAACATTCTTTATTTATTTGATGATGGGAAACTAAATTCTTTTCAATATTAAAATATTAAATAATTTTCAAAGTATTATTACAAATTGTAAAGCTATATAAGGTATTTTTACTATGTCAGATTTACAGCTTAATCATTTCCAATTTCTGTGGTACAATGTGTTCTTTGATATAGAAGTAAAAGTGAATGCTGAACATTATCGAATTCATAGAACATTTAGACCGTAATTTACGAGGTGCCGGACATTAGTGTTTTTGTTTAGCTAACTGTTCGTAAGATGGACGGCCTGAGAATCATAAATCTGACTTCAGACAGTGGTCTTTATGACCATGATAGGGTTTGGTTATTTTATGGCCCCATTTATGTCTCTCCTTGTGTATATTGCTATTTGTGTTATGCATGATTTCACAGATTTGAGCTTGACGTATGATTTTTCTGAGGAGAGAAAAGTAATGTTAATGATTTACAAGAAATGACTTATTATTTACTCCTCAACCAGAAATCAAAGGATTTTTTTTTCCAGTTGATTACTAGATTTCTTTTACATTGCATAATTAATAGAAATTAATTCATTAAGAGGATTAAAGGGAAATGCGGATTTAAAGTCGTCAAACTTTGTTGGGTAAGTGGGTTTTTTTTCTTTAAAGGGAGGATCCTATTTGTATTAGTATATCAATAACTGTTTGATTGTAGTGAAAGCATTTATGTATTTAATTTGTATAAATGCATTAGTGCAATTCATATTCCTTTGTAATTTACAAATTGAGGTCCAGGTGAATTTGTCAGGGGTGCTCTGCTATGAATAAGACTTCTGGGGTCTGTATTTTTTTCCCTTTAATTTGATACCTGTGTCATTAAGTAATACGAACACCCTATTGTCTTGACCTAAGTGTTGTTTGGTCGCAGTAAGCTTGTATATAATTAGGTAATTCTAATCCCATTGATGCTTCTTGGGATTCTATTATAGCGGTTTTAATATTCTTTTGATTGAAATTTTTTCTAACAGGCCACTGCTTGTATGTTTTTTATCACAAAAAAGATTCAAAATGCTTATAGCGTCAATAGACCTTGTCATTATTAAGAAATGATTGAAATACTTGGAGAGTTTAAACAATTGACAAAGGTAATGTTTGTTCATGACCCTGAGAAAATACCGTTTTTTTCCCCAAAATTTGATGGATTTTTCTGCATGCAATAAATGCATAAAGGACTTTGCCATTTATCATAATCTTATAACTTCAGTTTTTCTGGGGTTTGTTTTTGCAGCTTTCAATTGTGTGAGAGTCATGATTGAATTGAATTAAGTGTTTGATCCTTGTATTACGATTGTTTGATTTTTAATAAGAATGATTTATCGCCCACTGTTCCTGGTAAACAATGAAAGAAAAACATGCCGGGTTTAGGAGTTTTAAAGGTGCTTGATTGAACCAGATGTTTTGTTATAATGCTTTTGATGCTATTTACAACTTCCTATATGCCCTACCATTGTGAATTAATCTTTAAATCCATCAGTCTTGCATTTTATGCTTACAGGACCATGTGGATATGAAAGCTAATGAACAGAGCCTACAAGAATTCCTCTCAGCAGAGCAAACATTACGCCAGTGGATTCTTGGAGCATAATGGCCCTCGATGAGACTTAGGAGAGTATAATTATGTGACGTGAAAAAAATATACCTCCTTCAAAACCCAATGTGCAATGTAAACCAAGTTAATGTGATTTTAATTGGAAATTATGCAGTGATTACTTTTTTTAATTTATTGAGAACAATGCGAAAATAATGAGAGAAGAAGAAATCGAGACGGCCATTAAAGTGGTTGTGGTGGGGAATGGGGCGGTGGGGAAGTCCAGCATGATCCAGAGGTACTGCAAGGGAATCTTCACCAAGGACTACAAGAAGACCATCGGAGTGGACTTCCTAGAGAGACAAATAGAGTAAGGGAGAAATGCTTGTATATTATGATTAAAAAACTTTCAAATTCACCTCAAAATAAAAAGATCATCAAATATATCTATTGAAATAATTAAAATTATCTTATGTAAGCTATATATCCTCTTTCTTTGATAAGGTCTATTTTCTGAGGTCAGGGTCGTTGACTTTGTTATCAAGGACAGAGTGAATGTTAGTTAAGCACCTATTCTAAAATTTCATGCAGTAGATTTTGGTTCAGTGAGATGAGAGGAAAATTTAGTCATGAATTAGCTTCAATTGAAATATTATGTCAACAATGTTCTCTTGAATATCATGAAGTATGAGATACCAGTATTCAAGAAAACTATGTCCATTATATTTTAGCTTGCTTATTAAATTCAATTTTGCATTGAACCTCTTTAAACTCAAGTATGTATGATGTAAACAGCATAATATCATACAGACTGATAGATCATCATCTTGGTAATTGTATGGTTAACTTATACGATCGGATCATTTCTCTAAACTTGTCAATTCAAACTTTTCCATTTTGTAGATGAAGTTGATGGATGGGTCAAACTGTTAATGAGAGTTAGGCAGACTCCTCCTAATTTTTCACCCCCTCAGTGCATTACCGCACGATAATGCATCATAAAAATGCATTCCATTTCTCATTTTTATTTGCTCAAAGCATGACTATAAATATGTAATAGGCTTCAATTTGTGAATGATTGAAGACCTTATTATTGAGCTATATCATTGTGTTAATGAAATTTTTTCACCTTTGAAACTATTACGCAAGACCAATTCCCAGGGTTTGGAAAGACTTTTCTAAAAGGAAAAAGTAATTTAACTGAGTGGAAGGGAAGATTTTGTCAATGTATGATGTATTCATGATGAAAATGTCCTTGAAACTTTTTTTTAGGTTTCAAACTCTGCATTAAACACCTGGCTTATTATCTGCATTTACTTTTTTTCCACACTTTTCAATTTTGTAGAGCATTCCATTATGGTAATACATTATATAGATATATTTTATTTTTTGAGTTGTATAATGGTGTATGAACATACAAAGCATTTGAGCACTATACATTTTATTAGAAATATTGAAATAATTTATTTATGTCTGTCTTTTATTTTTTAGAGTGGATGGAGAGGAAGTTCGTCTAATGCTGTGGGATACGGCAGGACAAGAAGAGTTTGATGCCATTACCAAGGCTTACTACAGAGGTGAAAACATAGCATAGCTCAAGACAATGTAGATTCTATAATCCATTCCCTAAATTTATGTTGAAACTTTTTGTAAAGAATGTACAAAATAGAAGTTTTGTGTCAGTGTCACTTAGATAAGTGATATTGTAACCTGTCCAATACATCTTATTAGCCAATACATTTATTGCCCTGATTTATATCAACTGTAATATTTCTGGTCCTTCATCTAACAATTACCAAAGTCTCTTAAACAATCATCAAACCTTAAGATAAGCTGTTTTCCTTCAATATGTCACTCAGACTCTAATTCAGACACATTAGGCCTTTCTTATTAATAGCCATTACAGCAGAAACTACTCTTTAATCATAATTTTATCTTCATGTTTCTTCCTCTTAGCAATAATACCATATATGACTTCCTCTCTTCAATTTTTCATTCCACGGGCTAATTAATCCTCAGTGACTATTAATAATAATTTTATGAGACTGTCTCACCTAAAATTTGAAGTCAGTTGGAGTGACATTTGTGAAAAATTTGTCTTACAATACAGTCATGTGTACATAATACAAGTGTTTTACAGCATCTATACAGCATCAGTATCTTATGCTGTTCTTAATGGCAAAGATATTTTGGGGAGATAATTTGTTATTTCAGGGTCGTTTCAAACATTTTCCATCAAGCATTATATACCGGGCTCCTATTCAGCCCCTCCTTGTTACATAACGTTATATAATTTTATAGATAATATGCTGTAATTCTGCAGGTTTTTAACTATTACACCCTAGGCTTTTCTTAAGCCAGAACACATCAAGTCAAACCTTAATTACCCCTAATACATATATTTCAGGTCTCTCTTAAAGCATTATGCCTCAATCTGATACCTCATATTCTTGAATATCATATTCATATTCATATGTATATGATGAACTTTTATACTTCTGACTATCAGAAGGATGCTCTGTAACTACTTTTACCCACATTCCAGACTCTTTCAACCACCATACAATTTAGATGTCTCGGGTGATATTTATATTTTGGACTATTTCTCATTACCTCATAATAACACCTTACCAATCTCAGTTCTGTATCTTTTACACACTAGGCATTATTTGTATTTAAAGAATATGAAGTGCTTTGCGGTAATGTACAAATTAAATGACAACAACTAGAAAGGCCCTTTGACCAGGGGATGACAAATCCCATTGCCCGACGTCCGGGGCTAGTGAATTTTACAAATTAAATGACAACATCTAGAAAGGCCCATTGACACATTTGTTATACTTTGGGACCCTAAAAATACATACAGACCAAGTTGGTTGTAAAATGTCTTGTCACTCCATAAACACAATACAGACTAGAAGCAAACAGTGGGTTCCTTTTCAGGCCTTAGACTTGTAATATTTGGTATTAATTGAATTCTGTGTTTATGATGTGAAAATGGCTTTATATTGACATAGAGTGTTCTTGTTGATTAGAAAGTGCCCCTTAAAAGTATTCAGCAAGAATAATTAGGAATGTTTTTCATTACTCCTGTCTTCTGTTATGTGAGGTGTAAATGAGAAGCCTGAAAGTGCTACAATTGTCCTCAGAATATTTACTTACGGTGCCTTTTAAATCACAATGAAAATATACATACACTCGCGGCAATGAGAGTGAGAGTTTAGGTGAAATTGGAAGAGGGTTAAATCTCTTAGAATAATACATGTTTCACAAATTAAGTTTAAAGTAGAATGGTAATATGTTGTATATATTCTTTGTCTGAAACTTTGAAACTATGTAGTACTCAGGTAGATTTCTTTGGTCAAGTATGAATGCATGGCTATGTATGATTTTTAAATATATCAGATTGGTATAAATCTCATTGGTTACATAAGTTTTCAAATATCAAATCTGACAATCTGATCTTATCGGTTTTGATACAGTATCAATATTGTAGATAGAAATGATCCGTAAAGACTACCAGAGGTAATCTGGCATTGAATTCGGATGTTTAAACAAAACACTTGGTTTATCTTATCTGCCATTCTTTCACACACAAGAGACAATACGTGTTGTCTCGAACTAATATACCACGGACCCAGACTGCCGTGTAACAGTAAAAAATAATTTTGATATTGATCTTCGAAGTCTAGAGCTTAAAACTATGAAACTCAAAAATCATCCCGAAGGGAATGTTAATAAAGAATGGTTAGGTGAAGTCGAGATAAAGATTTAAAAGAATGTTAATCTGTAAATTAAAATTCCAAAATTGGGCAGAAACTTTGCAAACAGTACTTATTTTATCTTCACTCATGAAAATGAATGGTGTGGAGTGAAGGTTTGTTAAGGATTTCTTGACATTCCAGTAAGACAAAAGCAAACTAGGAAGTGTGCAGAATATTAATGTACTAGGGTCCCACAGAGGTGAAATTTACTGGCAAACGGCATCGATAGAGATCTTTGTACATAAAGACAGACTTGAAATACGTCATTCTAACAAAAACAATGGAACCCTATATTACATGAATATACATATATTGCATAGAATTTAGTGTACTGAGATTTCACTCTTTGACATTAGCTTTATATGCCTTTCAGAAATGGTTCTGTTGAAAACTCCTAAGTATATTTATAAAATTAAAAATTGTCAATTCATTATATACAGGAAGATGTAGAATTATAGACATTACTGAAAAAAGCAGGAAATTGAGATATTTATGGAATTAAAGTTCATGTATTATTCATATTTATTGCCAGCATTAATTGGATAATGCATCATAGATTTTTATATTGATTGTGAAATACAAAATATCCCATGTTAAATATGACTGTTTTTCATACATGATAGATGATGTGAATTAACCATTTAACTGTTTTACAGGTGCCCAGGCCTGCGTGTTAGCATTCTCCACCGTCGACAGAGATTCATTTGAAGCCATTGAATCGTGGAAGAAAAAGGTATCTGTTCCTGATTCCTCTGTTTATCATCTAGCCATGCAAAACAGAACCTCAAATCAAGAAAAATACATGGTGCTTTAAAAGTGACGGATTGCAAGTTTGATGTATTTTTGATGATCATACACATAGTCGACAAGAATACTAGTTGTAAATTTAATGGAACATTAGAAGTAATGAAAGAAAGATCATTTGAACTACAATGCATGGTATACCCCTATCCCTTTTTTCCAAACATTTGAATAATATATTCTAAATATATTCTTAATAATGTAAAAATCTTTCAGTTTGCTACATATTTTTTAGTAATTAGTATTTTCAATAGAGGAACAACATCAGATACCTCATATAGGTAATGTTGGGGGTATTAAGGATTTACCACCAAAAAAAAGGAATCAAAAACAACCAGAAGAAAAAAATGTTTTAAAAAAGTAAGATGTTTGAAGCCTGAGTAAAGGCTAATAAAAAGGTACTCGTAGAGAATGAACATTTTTAGCTCACTAGAAATGAATTTTTGAGAATGTTTTTATGAAATTAATTTTTTGTGTAAATAAGATTTATGCTTTGGGTCAGAGTAAGCTACAACATATGGGGCAATAGATTTTGAATAATTTTTATGAAATTGTTTAGAATTTTCCTTTTTATTTGAAGAGCAAGAAACACATTGCCAAATTGATATACAGATCTGAATAATAACATGTATCTAAATTTTGCCTTTGAAATCCTAGTTGGTTAGCAACAGTGCAGATATAAATATATATTTCTCATTTGAAAAGATAGGGATGAGGAATATTTTTCAGTTCACAGATATTTGTGAAAAAATATTTTATTCACTTTATAAAAGAAAACATGTCTTTGATGAGATATCTTTTTGAGAACCCCAGATGCTGGACTTTTACCATCAGACTTGAAAAATTAGTTAATAGGGAGAAGGCTAAAATAGCTGGCTTTGCCTGCTGCCCAATCCCATTCACTTTGTGAAAAAAATTTGGTATAAATAAAAAAATTAGTCAATCTTTCAATTTTTTTCAGGTTGAAGATGAAGTTGGGGAGATAGGAATGGTGATAGTCCAGAATAAAATAGATCTGATCGATGATGCTGTAGTGGAATCGTAAGTTCTTCAATGAATTAAATTCAAGTCAAATTGTTACTCTACACAACCAGAAACAGTTTTCTGTGTTACAATAATACTTTGATATACAGAAAAACACGCTTATAAGGAACAAGCTTATAATGAATTGATGCTTATAGTGAAGTGATATTCAATCCTCATGGGTTTTAATTAAATTTTGAAGCTAACAGATATAACAATGTGCATTTAAATATGGAAGCAAATTCACTTGTCCCTGTCAGGTAGTTATAAGCATGTTTACTGTACTGGTATTTTTGGCTAATGATTGTGACGGAATTGGAAAAACTAATAAAGAAGGCAGGATTATGTTAACCAAAAGTTAGAAGTACAGTGTACATGTATGATCTTATAATTTAATTTCTAAAATTTATTTTGACAGGGAAGAAGCAGAGGCTCTTGCCCATAGACTCCGCCTTCGGTTTTACAGGACATCCGTGAAAGACAATCTCAATGTGGATGAAGGTACAGCAATTTTTACATTGTCCAAATGTTTAAATTGCTTCTTTTATTGCTTGCTTTTAATATATGCTTTTGTATGAAACATTGACTAATTCCATCCAGTCATTCTTTAGTTTGTAATTTACTTTTTATTGATACCCTTAAAACATACATGTTAACCTATTGTGATGAAAAATAGGGAGATTCAGACCTCAAAAGTGGTAGCATTGCGCGCGTGTTGTTTAACGCTTGGATTATCGATATCTTTCATGTAATATACATGTATATTATAAGCCTTAAATGAAATCAGGTACCTACACTAATTAATCTTAAATATCAACAGCAAAGAAGAAGACAGAAACACCTTAAGTTTGACATAAATTGTACAAATTCAAATATTTTTCATGCTCATCATTTTGCTTGGATTGGCTGAACACACTTTGAAGAGTGATCTTTGCTGATATAGCCTAGAAGCAATAATTCTGAATGTTCATGCAGTTTTTAAACAAAACAAATGATGACATGGTTTAATCTAGATCTAAAATAAGTTCCTATCTTTCGTTATATAAATCAGATTTCCCGCGATGATCGAAAACGAAAGTAGAGATGTGCCACATGGCTTGGTCAATCGAGTGATTTCTATTGACTTTATTGATAAAGTTGTGAGCTTCTGTGCTTTTAAAGACGATGTCAAATGCTTTCACCTAATTCTTAAAAGCTGTATCTCCTTTTTCATGGCAGGAATGTTGATTAATTTATCGTAACCAATGTAATCACTGGTAGTCTTGTGTTGTTGTCGTTGTCAAATCCGTGCTTGAAATCTATGTACAAAAAAAGCGTTTGTATGATTCCGTGAAAGTCAAAATCACGCGATATCTAGCGAGATTTTATGAGAGTGGCTTCAAAAATGGACACCCAAGCGAACCAAATATAATTTAGATGCAGCTTTTGTAGAAAAGCGGTAGATTTCTGAATTAAATCGGTAGGCGGGAGATGGAGTCTCTTCTTCTTAAATCGGGACTTTTAACATAATATGCTTAAAATAGTTATAAAGTAAGCATATAAGTATAAATATACAGTTAAGTCAACTTTTACAAAGAAATTGTACCTACAAGAAATACTTTGAAATTATTCAATGTCTGATCCAGTGTTTAAACAAAACCAAACCAACATCAAAAAGTAACAAACATACACCCCACCCTCCTCAATTATGTATTGTGGTTGTTTGCATTTTCACTTCTTATATTGTGATTATTGTCTATATGTATGACATATATAATCCACAATATAATACATAAATATTCTTATTGTTTACATACCTATGTATTTTCAGTGTTTCGGTACCTCACAGAGAAATACTTGTTTCAAATCAATTGTGAGGTAGAAGAGGAGCCTGATAATCAACCAAAGATATCTATAGGTCAGTTTACAGCCAATCATTTACAGTGTTATATCTATAGGTCAGTTTACAACCAATGATTTACAGTGTTACATCTATAGGTCAGTTTACAGCCAATCATTTTCAGTTTGATATCTATAAGTCAGTTTACAGCCAATTATTTACAGCGTGATATGTATAGGTCAGTTTACAGCCAATCATTTACAGTGTAATATTTATAGATCAGTTTACAGCCAAACATTTACATTTTTCATGAAGCAGATACCTTACAGTGTATTTGATATTTATTGCAAATAATATTCATATTCTTCCCTACAGGTGTGTTAGACACTGAAACTAATAATCATGTGAAAGACTCGACAGAGAAAACTAAAGACAAAACTAATGGCAAACTCCTAAAAAAGAAACATAAAAACCGTGCAAATGATGATCCAGATACTATTAGACTGGAACCAAGTAAACGAAGGACTCGAGGTAAAAAATCCGTACTACAGGTTGCCAAGTGTGTTATTTTGTAGCGCCCAACCACTAGAAGTTTGTGTATCCATATAAAGTGTGCATTTCGCCTTGACATAGTATCTCCATGTGTGAATGTGTAAACCTTTAATATTCAACAAGTGGTTCTATGCCAGATGAACAAGCTGCTGATGTAATTGGGATTTCTACTATTTAGATAAGAAATTTCCATCAGGAACCTTCTGCCTATGATTTTTTTTTTTGGATTGCACTGATCCAAGAATATTTGTATATTTATCAGATATGAGTACATAATTCATGTATTTTGATGAATGGAATGATAAAAACATAACTGGAAGAAAAACATTTGGAATGAGAGTACATTTTGCAGTTATTTTGCCATGTGGCTTTTAAACAGCCTTGCTTATTGTGCTCATATTGACAAATATCTGTGTTAAATATCTGTCACATGACAATCATGTGACATCATGATGATGTCAGTATGGTTTTAGGATTAATGTCTTGGATGTACAAGGAATATATCGATCCAGACAGTCACTTTTCTCTGACACTAGTTAATTTATCCGGGCTGTTTGTATTAGTTTATGTCATTTGTGTTTTAAATTATGTATTGTGAAAATATTGATGAAGTATTTTTGAAAGAATGGAATTTATGCAGTGTTTGTAACTTTATAGCTAGACATGCAGGCTGGCTGCTATATTTAAAGTTGTCAGTCCTGTCAAAGATCTACTAGCTTGGGAATAGGGATGCCTTTTAAAAGTTATTTTTGTTATAAATGCAAAACCATACAACTTTTGGGGAATTTTTTGTTTCCTTTTTTTCATTGTCTGAAACAGCAACCCTAATAGTCTGTATAATGTGTTAACACAAACCCAGTTTACCTCAATTTATAATCTTAAGAAATTGATCTATGAATAAAGTTTTCCACAATTAGATTCAATCTCCATTATAAAGATATAATGTGTTGTGTCCCCTGATTCATTAAACTTCAAGTAATGGTACAGTTAGTCTAATAAATAAAATTATTAACACTAAGAAATCACTTATTTTCATTGTTTGGTGGTAAGAGGAGTCCCAAAAATTTATGTCCACCATATTATCTTGGCAACTCTGCAACCATAAAATCCCACTCAGCCATTTTCCCCCCCCCCCCCCCCAAGAAAAAAAAAAAACCTTAAAAATGTGACTATACTATTATTTGTGATTTTATGGTAAGCAGAAATTTTAACAAGTCCAGTCAATTTTGTTTGCATGGGACAAGTGAAAGCTATTTCAAACACTTCATGTAATATATTGCAAAATACAATGTACATTCTGCAGGTTGTACTTGAGGTTGTGAAATGATTATCTCCCTTGATTTTTGATAATGTTTTAAAACATTTACAAACAAGCAATGTGAATTTCATGGCTTAATATTTACTACAAGTTTAATCATTATACCCAATCCCCAGCCCCTTCCCTTTCTGAAACTGGATTTTAAAGTGTCTCTGTTGTAAGACATTTGTAATGAAAACACAGCAAGAATAAGTTCAATTTCTGCTGCAAACTATATCATTCTGCATTTATATTTGCTAAAGACTCTTCTTTGTTATGGAAGAGAACATAAAATTCTATTTTGGGCATTCATCTACCAGACATTTTATTACACACAACAAAATTCATTTGTAGTATGTGCTTTACTAGACTAAAGGGCACATCTTTAAGTATAGATTTACAAATTTCACATTGTTCTTAAAAATTCTTTTCAGGAAACACTGGTATTTGAATTACACTAAATCAACAGCACATTGTTTATGCCAACAGAAGCAGCATTGAATTAACATTTTGTTTACCAATTTCGATACATGTATCATTATAGCAAAATTTATGGTCTGGAACCAAAATCAAAAAAAGAAATGTGCAGCCCTTAGTAGAAACACTTCTTAAAAGGACTGCAGTTGTCATAACAAAAACCTGTTAATGACTAATTACTTTCCAGCAGGAGCCTGAATTCCATGTAGTAAATCTCAACAACCCATTGTAAGAAAACCATATTCCTGGCAACAATGTAGTGCTATATTTAAACAAAACACTGTCAGGAACTTTAGGGGGTGGAGGTTTACAGGGGAATGCATTATTTGAATTATTTATAGCTGGTCCTAAGAGCGATTATTTATACATCCTGTTTATTGCCAGGATAGTGTTCATGTGTTTGTTATTTAAGTGTATTTTTGTATTTTTCTGATCCAATAAAACCATATTTAACACCTTTGTAAAAGATAAGAAATTTATATTAATATTTATTTAATTTTTATTTCAATTATATTCAAGTTTCTAAATTTTTATAATTTTGAAATGCATGTTTTGAATAATCCATACAGAATTGTGATTTGAGGTACATGTACCCATGTGCTTAAATTGATATGTGCTTTTGAATTTTTTTGCTTTTACAGTTGCATTTACATAAAGACTAGCTTACATAAATGTGAACAAAATGGAAACTACTTAATATGGATCTGAGACAGAGTTGAACATGTAATGTTTTTTTTTCAATTATCAAATCTTAAGATTTTTTTTACTGCAATGAATTTTCTATGATTCATATAAGATATAGTCATATTTTTTTTTACTGCAAGTTTTAACGATTCATATCATATATGATATCTCATGAAATTGTCAAAATTTATAACAAGTAAATGACCACATACATTATGTGATCCAAATAAAATGAAAGGGTGTATAACTAGCATTAAAAAAATAAAATTTGTATTAAATATCATTTTTATTTTTCTTGTTATTTAAAGTACTAAATCATATTTCCAGTGTACATGTATTCAAACAACCCTTACCCTAACCCTTGAGGAGTTCAATTAAAGTTTCACAGTTGTAGCCTTAATGGAACTTTATTTCATGTACATGTATAATATAACATAAGGTCAAGGTCTAGACACATCCGTGGCTCAGAGACTATTTCTGTACCAAGTACATATGTATGTATGAACTTCTAGTGATTCTGCATTACAAAGTCAAAGTTATAGCC